TTCCGAATCGTGCGCGAGTGGACGATTCTTCTCGCGCGAAAAATATTTCATTGGCGTTTCCAATAACGCAAAATTATTTCCATGTTCGCCGAACCGTTGTTGCAATCGTTTGCGTCCTTGTATCGAGCCACCGACTATCTCATGAAGATGTTTTTAAAAATATAAGTAATAAATTATATATATTATATTATATTATAATTATAATAGAAATATATATTAAAAAAAAATTATAATCTATAAAAGAGAAAAACAGAAAACAGGGGGATTCTTTAGGCATGAAAAGATCCGCCGTCACGATATCCTTATCCCGTTGCGTCTTTTCTCGCCTGACATATAAATCCCGTCTCCAATGAAACGGTTTAATAACTGCGTAATTATAATAGAAATATATATTTAAAAAAAATTATAATCTATAAAAGAGAAAAACAGAAAACAGGGGGATTCTTTAGGCATGAAAAGATCCGCCGTCACGATATCCTTATCCCGTTGCGTCTTTTCTCGCCTGACAGATAAATCCCGTCTCCAATGAAACGGTTTAATAACTGCGGGACCGCCAATAGAAAAAACGCCGTGCGATACCCGCGAAGCGGGACAGGTCCACAGGAGTATGAAAACCTCGGGAAAAGTCCCGACGTTTACCTACACGTGTAAGCGGCGATGGCGAGGCGATGCAAACACACAAACACGTACATATACACGAGAGGCCACTCGCATTTCACACAACCACACATACGGACCGCGTCCTCACGTACGTCCGAGAAAGCCCGGGGCGAGTTTTACATTTTTATTCCGCGCTCTCCTTTTTTTTCCCTCGCTCGCAACCACCATCCCTCCATCCCTCTCTTCCCCTTCCGCCCCATCCGGTGAACGAACGAGCGCGCAATCAGCCACCCCTGCGTGCCCACCACCCCTGCCACCGCGGTAGGATTCGTACTGGAGACGGTATTTCACATTCAAAACACCCTCCTCTCTTCCCTCTCGCGTCGCGTTCTCCTCACCTCCTCGGTCGAGCCTCGAACGTCCTGGCGTATCTCTGGAAGGAATACAAAACGTGTGGATCGTGCATGAAACTCGGTGCATACGGCGTACGCATACATCTGTGTATGTGTGCGTGCGCGCGGTCCAGTTTTAATTTAAAAAATAATTAAACCGCAAAAAATATTAAACGAGCCCACCCCTGCACATTTTTGTCTCTCCCCGTGTTTTTCGGCGGCGCTCGCGTACGTGTAACAAGGGGGAGCCTCTGCGCGCGATAGGATAATACGACTTTCTTTCGTTCTCTTTTTTCACTCCCATCCCTCTTTCTCCCTCTCTCTCGCCCTTTCCTCGCATCTTTCGCTCACGTAGCGACGACGCCGAGGTTCCAGAATGTTGCGTACGTTCGCGGGAAGAGATAATTGGAAGCACAAAAAGAATAGACACGGATAACCAATGTCTCCATTAAGCGCGCGCCGATTGCAGCCTGCACGCTTGACTACTTTCTGCTCCCTTCTGCGTTTCGTCTCTCGAAGAAAATGAAGGATCTATCTTCGAGGGTGTGGGAGACGCTCGATTGACAGTATAACTACGGAATTCTCTCGGATAAGCCTTGTACAAGTGATGTAGCGCTTCGAGGGTAGGCGGTCTCCCACACTCGCGATGACACATTTCAATTTTAACTTTCTTCTCCCTCTCCCCGATGCATCGAGAGACTGGAGACTTGTATCGGAAATCGTATGTTTTGTGTAAACGCATCCTTCATATCCGATATATGCCAATTCCAAGTTTCTTTTTGTCGCGGAGACAAAGATCTTTGGTTTCGTCGACTCTAGAAGCTTAACGCGCATTATTCTACAGCAGCTATGTTATCCGTAAGATCGGAATCTTGTTGGGGTTTTACGATCCTCGGCGACAAATCCGGACACTTTTAGGTATATTATATTATATTATAATTATAATAGAAATATATATTAAAAAAAAATTATAATCTATAAAAGAGAAAAACAGAAAACAGGGGGATTCTTTAGGCATGAAAAGATCCGCCGTCACGATATCCTTATCCCGTTGCGTCTTTTCTCGCCTGACATATAAATCCCGTCTCCAATGAAACGGTTTAATAACTGCGGGACCGCCAATAGAAAAAACGCCGTGCGATACCCGCGAAGCGGGACAGGTCCACAGGAGTATGAAAACCTCGGGAAAAGTCCCGACGTTTACCTACACGTGTAAGCGGCGATGGCGAGGCGATGCAAACACACAAACACGTACATATACACGAGAGGCCACTCGCATTTCACACAACCACACATACGGACCGCGTCCTCACGTACGTCCGAGAAAGCCCGGGGCGAGTTTTACATTTTTATTCCGCGCTCTCCTTTTTTTTCCCTCGCTCGCAACCACCATCCCTCCATCCCTCTCTTCCCCTTCCGCCCCATCCGGTGAACGAACGAGCGCGCAATCAGCCACCCCTGCGTGCCCACCACCCCTGCCACCGCGGTAGGATTCGTACTGGAGACGGTATTTCACATTCAAAACACCCTCCTCTCTTCCCTCTCGCGTCGCGTTCTCCTCACCTCCTCGGTCGAGCCTCGAACGTCCTGGCGTATCTCTGGAAGGAATACAAAACGTGTGGATCGTGCATGAAACTCGGTGCATACGGCGTACGCATACATCTGTGTATGTGTGCGTGCGCGCGGTCCAGTTTTAATTTAAAAAATAATTAAACCGCAAAAAATATTAAACGAGCCCACCCCTGCACATTTTTGTCTCTCCCCGTGTTTTTCGGCGGCGCTCGCGTACGTGTAACAAGGGGGAGCCTCTGCGCGCGATAGGATAATACGACTTTCTTTCGTTCTCTTTTTTCACTCCCATCCCTCTTTCTCCCTCTCTCTCGCCCTTTCCTCGCATCTTTCGCTCACGTAGCGACGACGCCGAGGTTCCAGAATGTTGCGTACGTTCGCGGGAAGAGATAATTGGAAGCACAAAAAGAATAGACACGGATAACCAATGTCTCCATTAAGCGCGCGCCGATTGCAGCCTGCACGCTTGACTACTTTCTGCTCCCTTCTGCGTTTCGTCTCTCGAAGAAAATGAAGGATCTATCTTCGAGGGTGTGGGAGACGCTCGATTGACAGTATAACTACGGAATTCTCTCGGATAAGCCTTGTACAAGCGATGTAGCGCTTCGAGGGTAGGCGGTCTCCCACACTCGCGATGACACATTTCAATTTTAACTTTCTTCTCCCTCTCCCCGATGCATCGAGAGACTGGAGACTTGTATCGGAAATCGTATGTTTTGTGTAAACGCATCCTTCATATCCGATATATGCCAATTCCAAGTTTCTTTTTGTCGCGGAGACAAAGATCTTTGGTTTCGTCGACTCTAGAAGCTTAACGCGCATTATTCTACAGCAGCTATGTTATCCGTAAGATCGGAATCTTGTTGGGGTTTTACGATCCTCGGCGACAAATCCGGACACTTTTAGGCCTCATGTCCAACATAAGGTAGGTTAGATATATTATCTCAGGTATATCGGTCCAGAGAGCACGAGGGACCGTGCCATTATTATTGTACGCGCGATCTTATATTTATAAATATTTGATAGTATTTTCACTTTACAATTTTAAGCAATTATTTGAATCGAAATTTTGCTCCTATTTTCAACCTTAATTTTCTCACATTTGTAGATTTTATATAAAGGTTTATTTTATATAGGAAGTAAGCTCCTACTTTGTACTTTAAATAGGCAGTAAACGAACAGTAAATCTCGACTCGGGGGTATATACTCAAAAATCTTTCGCAATTTCTCGCCAACAAAATTTCGCTACTATTATACCGAAGAAATCTCATTTTAATCGTCGAAAGAAACACTTATCGTGGAAAAATACGAGTCCGAACGTGTCATCGCGTAATAAAAGCACGTATAAAAAAATCATTAGCGAAGAAAATTTCATTCTCCCATCTTGAAATATACTTGTACGCGATATAAAGAAAGATACGGGAAATATATCGCAAGGCGCACTTTTGTGGCGCCACACGATGACCTTATCCCGATGTAGGATCACGAAATCCTCGGGGAGGATTCTCCACGCGATTGCTCCGTCGCGTCGTCGCTGCGAAATCCCGAGCGGATTCGGGCCCGGGAAATGTGTCGTTCACCTAAACTAGAAAACGCCGCATTGTCTCAGGTATTGTCGGGGCGTGTGGACGGTCCCCATTTTCCGTCCGCTCTCTCGAAAGGTTCCCTAAGACCTCGTAGTCCTACCTACCGTTCGACCGCACGCCTTTCGGGCCTTCGAAAGGGACGATCCCCACTGCGACGGAGGGGCCTTAATCCACCGCGCGAACAAAAAGAGTTGGCACCGACATAATGAGAAGCTCGTAATGCGAGACCATTGTTGCGGGGCTGCGCGAACAATCGGCCCGTACTGCGTTAAGCCCTGTAAACAGTGATGCCTTCGACGACCGATTCGATTCACCTCCGGGTTTCCTCCCGTGGTGATAAACGTAAATTACATCCCGTGCGTATTAAGCACGCGCCTAAGATGAGCCTAAATGTTGGATCCGAGTGGATCTGTCGTGCGACAGACATATTTCTCTTCTCCGCAATTTTTCCTTCGCGACTTTTAAGAATCGACAACGACGGTTGTTAATAATACACATGCATGTTCGCTACATCGCGTGTACGTACGCGATGCATTAATGTAATTATTATTTAATGTATGTATCGGGAATAATGTGGGGGAGAGAGGGAGGAGAAGGATATACGAGGGTACCCGTAATTTACGACGTGCGCAGAATTTACGAGCGTCCGTCATGGAAATAGGCAGGTCGTCGTTTAATTAGCGTAATCCCGCAATTACGTTGAACTCGAAGAACTTATATCTCGTAATACATTAATTGTCTTTAATTATATATAAGTTTCCGGAGCAAAACGAAGACGCAGTTTTACAAAAACAAGTCGTATTACTTATTCGCGATCTCTAATTAGGAAGACGGCAAGCTTTTCGATTTTTCGTCAGATATCACCGGGAAAACGGTCGTTATCGAGTCTAAAGTCGATCGGACGCGACATCGATAAATTGAGCGGGATACCGATGAGACGGTTAAATGTCGGCCTCAGGTGTCTCGCATCTGATGCACCTGCGCGGCAGGTATCACTGCGACTGTCCACGTCCGATATCGCCATCTGCGCGAACCAACATTGATCGACATTATTAACGCAAGAATCGCATGTCCAAACCCGATAAATTTTTCAAACGTTTGCGCGAAAATTTTTATACGCAGATACGTGTCAAGTCTCATCGGCACATTTTACTAGTCTGTCTACCGTTTCGAGCGGAAACTGTTTTCCTATACTTTTGATCTCAATTTTCAATCCAATATTTACTTTGACACTTTAAGTATTCATCTTCTTTTGAAACTAAATATTTAATTTTTAAATTTGACGAAAGAAGAATCTATTTCAACCTACATCGCGGGGGAAAAATAAATGTTCGACATTTCCTCTCCATGTTAGTTGAGGACGATTATAAAGACGAGAAAATATTCTTCATTAATGTCAATTAAAAAAAAAAAAAAGAAAAAATATAAATAAATTCAATCCGTGTCTATTCGTCGTTTTCGTGGTCGCGCTTCCTTGACGAAGAAGGGTGAAAGGCGCGCATCGTTAAGACGTCGATAAACGCGCGAGTTGCGATAAGATTGGAGGAGAACGGGAGAGGAGGACGTCGTGGTGCATCGAGGGTGCATCTGCGGTACGAATCTGCTGGTTTACGGACCGTGCACGCGTCTATATAATTATTCTCGATGCAGGATACACATATCTTTATAAGGAAGGGCTCGCCGTATACACCGCGCGCCGGTATCCGCCGCGGTATCTTTATGGCTTATTACAACGCTTTAGGCAACTTCGTGATCAACGTGAGGAACGGGAAGAGAGGGGAGGTCCATGATCGCTCAAAGCATTTTGCCGTTCCATCAGATTTTGTTCGAGGTACATAATTGTTTAACGTTACCGCGAATACACGAAGGAAAATACCGAGATTAAAGATGTACGAGGTTTCTTAAAGGCGTTAGACTAAGCAGTTTTTAGTCAGGATGTAGAGGAAACATATTATTATACGACGTTAATAACGTATTATTAATGAGCCAAGTGTTAAAGACTCGAAACGAGCCGGTTAATTGTACAAATCCCCGCAGAGATAATGATGGTATAATAATTAAACAATCGCGGACAAGGTAATTTTTCACAACTTGATCTAAAATTCTCTGTAGGAAAATTATTAAAATTCGTACAAGAGATTAAACGAGGATAATAGAAATTAAAAGAAGCTGTTAGCTCTTGCTCTTGTTTCTCCCCCCCCCCCAGAAAGAATCATTCGCGGAACATTCAGACTCCCGCATGCGGTGGACGGTTCGTGTGACGGTTCACCTTACCGAGATAAAGGAGGACAGGAACACATTCAGATGAAGAGATAAATAGATTGAACGCGCGGAGACCGGGGGGAATCGTAGCGTGCGGGAGAGAAAGAGAGATCGGGAGAGAGTATACTGGTTCAAGGGGCCAACAATGCCCTCATTCAGGCCTCGTACACACGGGCGCATTATTGAATTCAGTCGCCTTTAGACAGATAGAGAGAGAGAAAGAGGCAGCATGCATGAGAGAAAGAGAGACAGAGTCACCGGGGAAGCAAAGTGAAGGGGAGAGGAGAGCGTGAGCTGAATGTTATCTATATTATCCGGGCAAGGGTTTTAGCCGCTCACGCTGTTTGGTGTAGATCTCTCTCTCTCTCTCTTTCTCTCTCTTTCTCTCCCTTTCGCTCTGGAGAGATTATCTTCCGCGGTATCTGAAGCCGCAGCCGCGCGCCGCCGAAAAGCGAAGTGCTCGGCCCGGGGCGAAAGGAAGAAGGGCACACGGGGGGAGGAGGAGGTGCGCGAGATCACCGCGAGATACGTTTGTGTGCCGGTGTACACGTCTAGTCTCCAAATTTAATGTGACGTCTGTGTCACGTACCTCCTTCCACCGCTGCTCCGTGTCGCGCACATAAACGGTCCATGTCTTTCTCGCTCTCTCTCCCTCTCTCTCTGTCTCACTTTCTCTCTGTTTCTCCCGCTTGTCACTCTCGTCGAAAGTATGCGCCCCTATATGCACGCGTCGTCGACCGTAGCTACGTTCTTGCCCCTCTCTTTCCACATTGCATTTTAAAATCAAGAGTTACCGGGATGCAAACATCACTCGGGAAGATTAGTTTCGTTATCTCTCTAGAAATATTAGAATAACTTTGCTATACAAATACTAATACTTATTTCGAAGTGTTATCTATTTCGAGCATGTAATCTATTTCTCATCATATCGAAGATGACGCTTCATTACTTATTGTTAGACGAGTATCTAATATCTAATACACATATGACCTAATTAATCAACACGAAATATCCAGAACTATTATCGATAATTGATAAGCTATATATAGTTAAAAACTGATCGCCGTTTGATTTCGTTGAGGCTTATCTATTTCCAATATTATATTGACAATATAAATCACACAATATTTTTATACAATAAATTATGCGAATAATTATACATTTGAAAAAATAAAATAATGTAAGATCGAAACACAAAATATAAAATAAAAAAAATTATTTGTAGAATCAAAAAAACAGCTTTCATATATTTCAAACTGTCTTATTGGGGATGTTTATTTAATCTGATAATTAATCGACAAGAATATTCTCTCTCATTGCTGCTTGTATATTTAATGTTTTCAAATATTATTAATAAAGCTTACCTTCTGCGCTTTTAACGAGTAATTATTACGCTATCTGTCGTTAATCGATGATCGATAATTTAGCGAATAACCGATACCTCATAAAATTTAATTTACCTTACGTCTCTCATGCTTCTCTTCCTCCTTTTCGTTTCTCTTCTCTTTCCTCGCATGCCTACTAAGATCTTTCTTCACGGTTCTCGTCTTTTCACCGGTTCTCGTCTCCTCCTCCATCAGCTCCTTTATAAGAGATAGATTTTCTTCGTTTCTCAGCAACATGTCGCGGAGCATCCTGATAATCGGCGTGTTTCCGTCGACATCATCGTACTCGACACTGGTGTCCGGTTGGAGGAGAATTCTTTGCAACGACTCATGATGTTTTCGATTTCGTGATTTCTTTGGCAGTTCCTCGGACAGCGAATTCCGCGACGAAAGAGATTTAACTATCCTTTTTTGCGATTTAATCGAGCTGTCGGCATCTTCACCGCTAAGATAACCGAGATTATTTGATCTTCGATTCGAGTCATTCTTCGATTGAAGAGTCCCGCCTTTTTTTACCGTCTTATTGTGTTTGACGGGGATCTCGAAAATATCGTCGATCAACGACGCAGTCGATTGATCGTTTCCCTTCCCCTTCGTTTTCGCGTCATTTACGATCGGTACCTTCGTGCTGAGCTCGCTCAATGGTCTTCTCGTCTCTTCAAGTCGAGACGAATTGAGATTCCCCGCATCCTCCGTCGAATTCCATCTTCGTCGGGCGACATCGAACGGATGTTGCAGTATGCCGCTGACGACGCGAGTCTTATCCCTTATGTAGATGTTATTCTGACCGGTAGAATTCTCCTCCTCGGACGATGGTATGGTCTCGAGCATGTTATAGATGGCGGCCTTCAACGAATCCTTGTCCTCCCGGAAAGCGCGTGGGACGATCTCCGTGCCAAAACGAGCGACCGGCGTTTCAGCCCTGAACATCCTCAGGTGCAGCGTCGGTTCCTCGTGAACGACGTCGACGTTGAGATCGACGCCCTCCTCTCCCGGACCGTTCAGTCTCACCGCCGGTATCAACGTCTTTATCTGCTGCCTTACGTCATCGGGTGCTTGGGAAATATTAACGAGATGCTCGAACAGCGCCTTCAGGTACGCGCCCCTCGTCGCATACGCCAGGTGATTGAAACCGATTCCGTGCACGAGCCTGTCGTACTTGCGGTGGAGGAACGTCGCCACGGTCACCGCGTCGCTCTCTTTCACCTTCGTGTAATCGATGGCGCGCATCAGACCATACGTGTCCACGTCTACGTTGGAATCGAATACGTCTTTCTTCAGCTCGATCGGCTGTGCGCCGGGTCCCGTAGTTTTTATTTTGTCCCTGAAGTACTCGAGAGCCTCCTGCTGTACGGGATCCTGTTGCACGCTCTCCAACTCCTGGCCCAGATCCATGATGGCCTCCAAAAGTCGACCCTTGGTCACGTACTCGAACGGATCTTTGGGTAAGTTCAGTCGACGCAGCAGATCGGGAACGGAAAAGAACTTGATGATGCCGCGAATGAGTCTCTCGTCCCTTGTCTTCGGCAACGCGAGGAACAGCGACTCCACATTGACGTCGTCTATCGTTCGCGGTATTATGCGATCGATCTTAGTCTCATTGTGCAGAGTACGATTCAGGTACTTCAACTCGGTTTGAAACTCGCCGTCGTTCGGTTGACCGGATACACCTTTCAATAAACGCTCGTTCAACATGTACAGCCTCTGCTTATAAGTGGGATATGCCGTATGAAAGTCGCTTTTTGTATCATTCATTAAAACGGACTGCAATCCAACTTGCAAGAGATACTTTCTGATAGTTTGCAATTTGCTCGCATGGTATCTGTAATCGCGCAGCTGTTTCAACGCGTACTCCACTTCCTCCTCGCGAATGCCATGCGCGACATCCGTCTTGAGGATCTCGATGCTCTTTCGTACCTTATCGTCTATGTCGCCGTTCTCGGCCGCTTTTAGCAACTCCATGAGCAACTGTTTCGGCGTGTCGTCCGCCGACAAGTTCCTCTGCACGATCGGTGTCTGTATCTCCTGACATCGTAAGAGCACTTTGAGATCGTCGTACTTGCGATCGCTCGGGATCTCGTCAATGGCCAGATTGATATCGTATGGTGTCGGCTCCTCGTGATACGTCTGATTTTCTTTAATCTTCAACATCACGTAATCGTGCAGAAACACTTCCATGTCGTCAATTACCGATTTGCTCCCGATCAGCTCCGGTTTACGGATAAATTCCCTCATCGTCACTCGGATCATGGTGTATATTGTTCCCTGGAGGAAACCGCCCCGATAAACGTCCTCGATGGGTGCAGTCAGAGCGTTTGCGTGACTTAGCGTGTACAGCCTTAGCGGTACAAACTGCTCGAACGGCATACTATTTAATCCGGTAATTATGTGATTGTGAAGCTGTTCCTTGTCGAAATTATGCATATTATCCACACAGGCCTTGAAGGCATTTTTCATAGCACCGTCCATTTTCACGTCGCGCAGAAACAACGACGACATATAAATAATTAACGCCCATTCGTTGTGAACGGTCTCCGGATTGGTCTGAAAGCGATAATTCGGCGGCAATACTTGGATCAGATTGTCGGTCTTCGATATAAAATCTCGGAAGGTTACGCACGGCGCAGAACCCATGATCTGCGTGGTGTTTATGAGAACCGTTATACGATCCTGAGGAACATTTACCTTCTCCGGCAACGATTTCGTGTTCGTCTCCAAGTAATCGAGGGCGGTGAACATCTCGCCGTTCTGCAGCTCCTTGATGTTTCGCAGAGCAGCCAACAGATCGAGGATGCGCAACTTGAAGGTACGTGACGTACGATAAACGTCGAGATCCCATGGGAGAAGCGACGCGATATTCGTCACTGACAGAAATCGCAGAAGCGGTTTTATCACAGTGAAACGAGTGCACGGTATCGACCGTATCAGAACTTCCACGTGTTTCGACGTGACATCGAAGTCGGGCAACGATTTTAACGTTGCCTCCGCGTTAGTCAAAGCTTGCTTCGTACTCATATTCGTGGGATTGGCCACTTTGCAATAGTGCAGGATCTTGGCGATTTTCATCTTTCGCGATTCTAGGCTGGCAAGATTGAAATGAATGGGCAGGTATGGCATCAATGTAGCCAACTTGCAGTTTGTTATAATCTGCTTCACGTAAAAGGCGCTCAACGGCAATGGCAGTATCAGCCTCTCGATTTCCATGTCATTCACCACGGGTATGTTTGGCATCTTGCTAACGATTCTTTTGGCGAAATTGACAGAATGTAACCAGGGTTTAAATTCGTTGTTTTTAGATAACTCGTTCAAAACCGCTAACACACGCAGTTTCTTCGTCTTATAATTGGTCAATTGGAAATTCATGGGCAAGGATGAGACGACATTTATGATCGTCATCTTAGTCTTAAGTGGCTCTATCTGCTTATACTGCTCGAATGGAATCTCTTCTATGATAGATCTTATGTCATCGCTGTTCACTAACGCCACTTCTGGTATCACGTTGGAGCTAATCTTTGCCGATTCGCTCGTAAGCGCATCGAGGGCTGTTTTTAGCTTGTCGTTCTTTGCGGATCCAACAGTCGCGCTCAGCAATGACAGAACATTGTGCAACGCCAATTTAGCATTATCCGTTCGCTTTATAATGATATTTCCAGGCAACAACTTAATCAACGGCAGAGGTCTCAGGTATTTCTTGATGAGCTCAACGTGAGGTATTCCTTCGACGGGAAGTATGTTCAGGAGCGGCGCCAGATCATCCTGCGTGATGTTCGGAACGTCGGGATATGTCTCTACTTCACGGACAAGTTTTTCCAATTCCAAATGAACGTCCGTAATATTCAGTTGCAATAGTTGTCGCAGTAAATGCAACGCTTTCGTCTTAAACGTCGGTCGATTGTCCAAAGTAAACGACTGCGGCAATAGATTTAGCAGTTTCTCAGGCTTGAGAAACTCGCGTATCTTCGACGGAGCGATAGGATTGATGAAATCGAGATCTTCGGCGGATGGTGTGTGAAAAGTTCTGCGAGACGATCGTCTCACCGAGCCAGCTCTCTCACGTATCGATTCTCTCACTAAAGTCATGGTCTTGTAGAGAATCTTTCTTTGTTTCAAATTGGGCGACTGCAAACAAATGTCCAGGACGGCAGCAAGGCCATTGATTGATGCACCATACTTAGTGTAGTTAAAGTCCGGTGGCAGATACTTGATCAGATTATCATGATTTAAGAATATCTTGAGTGGAGCCAGATCATACTTAAGCTTCAGACTCGTCAAGGCATGATGCATGCTCTTAACGTCTCGCTCAGTGACGAAGTTGAAACGTTTTTCGAGATTTTCGCGCAACTTGTTCGCAGAGCTATAGACATTTGTGTTCTCGATATCGCTGCTCTCGATCAGCGACAGCAGATGAAGCAGTTTCTTGACCGGAGTGGAAAATATTTTCCAATTCGTGTCCTTGGGAATGTACTTGTAGAGTTCTTCGGACTGCAGGAAGATCTTGATGGGCGCAAAATCTCTATCGCGCGGTATCAGAACCAGCATCTTCTCCCAGTCTTTTTTGCTCAAATGTCTCTTTGAGGACGTCTTGCTGGGGCCCATCGTCAACATCAGAATACGCTTCAAAGACTGCAAATGCTTCCGCATGTTGTAATCGACATACATTGTTTCCTCGTGTAACAGATAATCAACGATAGTGCTGAGTATTTCGGTATTATCGTCGGATATGTCGGAAAATTCCTCTGGATTTAAATAACTCAATACTTCAGGATCTATGATGAAATTGAGATAGTCTACGTTGGTTTGTTGAACATGTTTCAATTCCAGTTGCAATGGTCTGAGCTGATAACCGGTGACGATTGGACGATCGCCCAACTTCTCGATTTCGGACTGTAATTTCTTCAATTCATGCGCTGTGGTATGATTACGGTGGACCTCCGGCAAACTCGACATCTTGGATAACAAAAGAGTCAGCGGCATCTTCGATTCAACGATTTCATTGTCATGAGTGAAACGGGACAGAAGGTCGATGTTGAATAGTTGTTCGATCAACTTAAATTGTGGTCTGACTTGATGCGGCATAGAGTTTACTACATCTTCGAGATCCGAGATCAACGTACCTGCGGATTCTCTGTCGACGGGTTCGATATTTCTCAGTATCAAGAGCGCATCGTGGAGTCGCGTGTCGTTGTTTATCTGGTTTTGCTTCCAAAGGATGTCCAGCAAAGTGCGATATCGCTCTTTGGGATCTGCAATCGGAAAGACGGTGCGGGCGAATTTATCGTTGTATCGTCCCTGATTATGCAGGAACAGTCTGACAGGAGCCAGCTCGTTGGTGTAAGCGATTCCCACGTCATCGAGTACGGTCAGCAAGTCCACGTCCATCCCGAAATCGAGTACGTCCTGTCTAACAGCGCTCAACAATTCGAACACCTTGTTGTTTTGCTTGATTACAGGATGCTGTAGCAGACGACGCAACAATGCCAGCAGCGATAACTTGGCCGATTTTGCGAGAGGCACGATGACCCTGAGTCTGTTGAGTCCCGAAGCAGTCAGAAGATCTCTCACGGGATCGTAAATGGCCGCTTTCGCAGTGGCAACGGCGCTCTTCAACATCTCGACTTTTGTTTTCCATCCGTTCAATTTTGTCTCGACGTTGGAGATGACTTTCGTTAAAGCAGGGTTATCGGCAATGTCTGTCCGACGTTTCGCATGATACAAAATCGCCAGCAACAATTCCTCCTTCTCCAGCGAATCCGAGTGTTTAAACTCCTCCGGCAAAACACTATACACCCACTCTGGCGTCAGTAGTTTCCGTAGTGGTTTGGCGAAAGAATCGACGGGCAGGAACGACAAAGCTTCATTGATCCGCGCCTTACTGGCACGCGTCTCCTCATCCGGATATTCGTCGTATCTGATTTCTTTCAACGCCATCAACGCGGCTTCCGTCAGGTTCTTCATTTTATTTTTAGCGACAATCTCCTCGAAATAACTTTGCAGCCAAGCTTGTCGTTTGTCGGACGAAACTGTCACGTTTCGTAATTCGTTTACTTCTTGCAAAAGTGGCTTGTAAACAACGTTGCTCGGATCCTGCAACGATTGGATCAGGTAAGCGTAAATCGACGTCTGACGAGGACGTTCGTTGCCGTCCAAGGAACTCAACGCCGCTCGGACGCGTCTCAGTAACAGCTTCTCAGTGCGTATTACGCTAGATTCGGTCAAGTATCTCAGCAGCATAATCAATGCGTCGCGTGGGCTGGCCTTTTCCAATATCGACAGATTTAATCTCGGTACGAGCGTCATCAAATTCGCTTTCTTCAGCAGTAGAATCACAGGCTTTACGTACGTGTTGTTCGGCAGGTATTCCAGCATCGCTTCTAATGTCCGCTTTTTCAGGATCTCGATGTCAATCTGATCTTTCTCTTCTAGAATGCTCACCGCCTGTTTTACAAGACTTGCCAGATGCCCATCCGACGCGATATATTTAACGGGATAGCTCAGAACCCTGGCGAGGATGTTCTCAGGCGTGCCGCTGATGGAGATATTCCAGTCACCCACGTTCATATATACGGATGATTTCAAGATTTCGTTCTTCAGCGTATTATTGACCAACAGTTGTTGAACTAGGTAGACGAAGTCGACTCGATCGAAAGTTCTGACCTTTAGCGGTGGTCCGTCAATGTTGTCAAGAGCGAAGATCAGCGCCTCGGAGAAGCTTGCGCTTGCTCCCTCAATTTTCAAGCTTACCGTTCGTAATATTAACAAGAGCCTCTCCCTTGGCGCGTGCACACCAGCTAGATTGAAATTTGGCGATAGAAACGCGAACAGTCTCTTCTTCTTAAAGAATATTTTGAGCGGTAAATATCGCGGATCGCTTTCAATACCCGGTAGTTGTTCTAGAAGGAGTTGTAGATCCTCCGAGGTATACAGATTGATCAGTAGCGGCTCCTCGAGGTAGTTGCGAGCGTTCTGGAGGGCCTTGGATAGAGACTCATCGGATTTCACGGAAGCGAGCGTCAAAGCCCTCTTCAGCAGTGCTAACAGTAGATTTCTGGGAGTCTCGTACTCAAACTTGTTGAATTGATAGCCGAGGATGTCGAGGATATTCGGCTTGGACAGGAAATTCAGCATGGGAGCGAATTTCTCGCTCTTGAAGGCGTTCGGTATGCGCATCAGCAGAGAAAAAAAATCGACCTCCACGTCCATCGAATCATCCCTCTGAAAGATGACACCAGAATCGTAGAGCGGACTCCGTCTACCAGTCAGACTCTCAGCGCGACTTTTGTAGACGAAATTGTCGATGACGATCGCTTGCGGCTTGTTGATCGGGATGCTCCTCAAACGAGTCAGCGCGAGCAACGTCAATTCCCTGGGATCATCATTCGCCCGTTTATCTCCGAAGGCATAGGTCCACGGCAGATCGTCGGACAGATGGGAACGTAACGTTCTCATCGCGTCGCTCACGTTCGGCTGCAAACACGGCGTGTCGAAAGTGTCCAGATAGTCATTCATCTCATATTGATTAATTGGCGCCGTGTAAGCATAATTGCCGTTATATGCCAGTTTTTGCGAGACAAAGGACGTCAGCAAAGACAGAGGTTTACTTAAATGTTGTAGATTCGAGTTTCTACGAAGACGCGACAACATTTGCAGAAGAGCTTGATCGCCCGTTTCGTAGAAGCCAATATCGAGATCTCGAAAATGCGAGTCATCAAGATGATTTGCGAGATATTTCGCCACGGCAGTAACGTTAATCGGGTAATAATTGTTCGTAATCGTCGAGAGCATTTTCTGTTTGTCCTTCCACGTGGAAGCGAGCGCATAAGGCTCCGCGCCGAGATTCTGAAGCAACAGCGAGATTGCTTCCCGGGTTGCCCTGGACGACAATTCGTCCACCTCCAGGCGTTCGAGGACGGCCCTCAGAAAATCCATCGCGTTCTCCAGACTTGGTTCTATGTTCCACAACAGAGGATCCTCGGCGCGCGAACGCTCCCTCATTCGCTGCGCGACAAAACTGACAGCGTCGAGGATCTCTGGATCCGTTAGATCGAATGCCGGATAATTCATTAATATCGCGGACACCACGCGCAGATTCAGCGTTCTAACATCATTGCGAGCCGCTCGCAACACAGAGTCAACGTCCTTTATCAAGGATAGAGGTCTGTGCTTATCGTGCGAAATCGACTTTATCGTTTCCGAGTTCACTTTCCACAGCATGTCGGTGAGCGGCGCTTGTTCTATGACGGCACTGATGTCGTGAAAAATGTTTATACAGAGCGACGCATATTCGGAGACGAAGCGATTGTCAATTCTCTCCAGCATTTGCAGGAGTTTGTACAGCTGTTGCTTCGGCAACTTGTTTCTCAGCGCCGGCAAGATGGGCAGCAGCTCGTAGATGGCGACCCGACGATTTCGTACGGCGTCGTGGACGAGCTCGAGAGGTACTCTCGCGTGATCATCGAGACAGAGCAGAAGCACGCGGCCCAACGCCGTTACCAGATTGTCTCGTAAAACTGCGGCGGCCTCCAAACGCGATAAAATATCCTGCGACGTGATAGCCGGATCATCGGCAATGCTTTGTAAGGTATGACTGGCTGATGCCATCGACCTTCGCAGGCTACTACGATGGTTCAAGCAATGTTGACCGTAATGCTTTCGTCCATGTGAATTCTACAATACCAAGCGATAGAACAAATACAAAGAAGAGTAAATTTATTACTCATCTGCCAATCTTTGTCAATCATATTGAGAATACTGAGACTTTATATAAAGAAAATAAATCGGATATTTGTGAAATAATATGGATTAATATTAATAGTCCAATTTACTAGAAGAATATTTCAACTAAATTAATGTGTTGATTATAAAATTAATTGTACGTGCTTTCCTGCTAATATTTGTGTTGACTATATGTAAAAAAACACAGAAATATAACGTGAGAGAGGAAGAGGACTTTGAAGAAATTTATTACAAATATCTTATTTACGCTCACCGATGCTTGTCGTTCAGCAACAGATTCTGCGAATTGACAGAATAATATCGACGCCGTTACGGTCAGTATCGCGATCCAGTTTATTCGAAACAGGATTCGGAGATTTGGAGTATTATATCGACGTTTGAGCGACGCGACCTTTTCCCTTTCCAGAATACAGTCCATATAATCCAAAAATGCATTCCTCACATTCGCCATCTATAGAGAAATATCAAATTACAGTCCAGTTGCGATCTCTCTCTAAAAGCTGTCTGAAATTTTCGTTATTCATTTAGTCGAAAGAAAAATCCATTTTTCTCTATATGCTTCAACAAAAGAATTTTATGCTATTTATAATATCTTATCATTGATTGTGTACGAATACAAATCTAGATGCATATTTACAGTTATGATGTTATTGTCTTGAATCTTTATGCCTGCGTTTTATCACGACGCGAACATTGGTGTTTGCTATGCTAACACGAAATAAAAACACACGCCGATAAGAAATTAATATTCGCACCGAGTTCAAGGTGTATTATTTGTATGTTACGTTGGATTTATTGTTTAGTCTACGATCCGCCAGTTGTTACAAGCCGCAATCTCGCGAAAATATATGAATCTCATACCAGCAACTCTCCAAAATATTTTCTATTTAGAGGTATGAAAGTAATAATTGGATTAAATTGCGTATAAACATGCGGACGTAAAGAGAAGCAATAATTAAAATAAAATCTATGTAAATACATGTAAGTATAAAAAAATACAAGTATAAAAAAATATACATTGTATACACATTTTGATTTTGATTGCCAAATTAATTAATCGAATTCATACGTAAATGGAATTTATCCGCAAATGAATACATACAAAAATACGTTATTCCTGCTCGTAAAGAAAGAAAAATGCTCAGTGTAAAGTACGAATCGTGCGGTTCGTGCGGTTCGCAATCACAATCACTTAATGTAGAGTGGCACGATTAAAAACTCTCAACACAATGGAACGTCACAATCTCTCCATAATCGTTCAAGAAAAAATTGTACGCATTCATTGCGATAACCGATTTATATGAACTCAAACGTGTCCTAAAGGCTATGATTTGTATCTAATCTACTAGGCATGGATCTGTCTATCACTAGCTATGATCATTTTCAATCGAGTCAACGTATATTAAAGAGTCTTACCGTGTAACGAATATGAGGGACACGTATCCCTCAATAAAGCGATTTGTCACCTCGCGAGTATATCAATCTGGTGTGTTTCTCTCGTGTGTTTTGCGATTGGTGACGATAGAGGCTCATCGAAGACGTCGATCGACGTTCGGATTGTCCGCGACTCTACCGTCAATCGGATCGGATCGACGGTGTGACCGATTAAATCGGTAGCGCGAGCTCGCGATGACGAATCGCTAATCGATTTCGAAACTACCTCTCCTCCTCCGTTTATCCGACACGCGCGTGCGAATCGCCGCTACACGAAGAGTGTCGAAGAGTGAATCAATGCACCTGCATGCACGTGTATGCATGCGAGAAGCGATAATGCGGCGAAACGTATCGAAAGAGCCGGCGCGAACTAAATTTCTATGAAATTTCATTCGTCGCGTTTTCTCGTCCGTGAAAATTGTGGAAAATCGCGTCTAGCAATTTTCAATCGTCAACATCGTTTGTGCCGGCTTCGGTCTGGATTCATCATATTAACAGATGCGTTAATAAAATGTGCTTAATGATGTAAAAATTTTTATGATAAATTTTGTGTTAATTAATTTGAGCAAAACTTTTACTTTTTTGAAAATCCATCTTTTATATATGACGCTTTATTCATCATCACCGCGAGATTCACTAAAAATGGAATCGATTTACAAAAGGAGCATTATTTTTTATAATTTTATTTCTAATTGTTTCTTTTGCGCACAAGTCTTACCGGTCGAAAATTAATATTGTGTGTGTACTCACGTAGAAATTTTCTTATTAAAATCTTATTTATATTATCGTTACTTTTATATGCATATTTTATATATTTCTAAATAATCTCTCTTTCAATTGCTGTATCGTAAATAAGTTACAATATATGTCATAAAAAGAAACGGGTATTAATCATCGCGCTAAATATATTTGTAAAGGGGAGCTTTGTTCAAAGTTTCTTTTTATTAGCTTCATGGTGGCACTCGCATATATCCCGAACGCCTCGACGATAATAAAAGCGTTGCATCGTGTGTTCCGAGAACGTTAGTTTCTTGCGGTATGAAGGAGAGAGCGATCCTTCTGCACGCGCGTGCTCGCCGATGCGTGTATAACGAGGCCGTGTCCTAAGAAATCCGAAAAAGCGCTCCCGCGGGGAGAGGAAAGCAGATGCGTCGGCCCGGCTCCTTGACGCGCAATTGACGTTGACCGAGGCGGAAAGGATCACTGACAGGACGTCGATGAATTATCGCGTCTTGGTGCGTCGTAATTAATCGTCGCGCTTAACTCTCCCCTTTCGCGATCGCCGTCGTTGTGGGTCCACCGGCTAAACGGAGGGAGTTTAATGTTTCCAAAATTTCAAATAAATTATCGAGACGCCGTTCAGCGATCGATGAAATTAAACGATTTTAATCCACCCTAAGTCAAAAGCCTATTTTCGATCTCCATCTTCAATCTAACATCTATTTGATGCTTTAAGCGATTACATTATTTTTTAAAAAGCTATTTAATCTGTAGTTTATATTTACCGAAAGCTCCTATTTTGTACTTTTAAATAAGAAATTGTTTATTTGAGATATAAAGAGTAAGGGCATAATTCCGATACGAATTTCGATTAAAATCTTTTAGAATCTATACACATGAGAAAATTGAGGTTGAAAATAGGAGCAAAATTTTGATTTGAATTTTCAAAAAAAATTACTTCGTCTAATGGCTTGATTCCGATTTACAAATAAATATATTCAAAGAGAGTGAGAGAATGCAAGAGAGGGATAGATTGAGAGAGAAATTGACACAATGAGAACGCAATGCATTTTGTGAAAATAATGTCTCCTTTTTACCGCGCGGCAGTTTATAAATATACGTGTAGGCAGAGACACCGTTCCGAGAGATGCGAATGCGATAAGCTATCGGCATTATGCAGTCGCTTATAAAAACTCGATTGTCGTTGAACGGGCAAACATTGGATTAATCTCGCGATCGGCTCCCTTTTTTTCCGGCCGGTATATCGAAATGTTTTCTCTGCGAAAAATAATGCTGATTTATACAGCCCGTGTTAATTCGAGATTGCGCGGTGATTGCGAGATCGTAGTGTAAAAAATATGTATATATATATATATATATATTTTTTTTTTTTTTTTTGGGAAAGGTTCGGCGATAGTTCGGCTGAGAGTTTATCTGATTCGCGCCAGTTACACGGCGAGAGATACATCCGGTTCCCGCGAGTGTTTCTCCACACAAGAACCGTTTTTAATTTTTTAATAACGTTCTTTCGTAATCTATCCTCTTTAATGCGCGACACTATGAAATACATATATTTGCGATATAGAATATAAAATAAATAGTTCCAAAAGAGAGTGATCTGAATCCCTCGTGATTAAAATATCAAAATAGATGTTAGATTGAAAATTGAGATCAAAAGTACTTAGCTTCGAACGATTCAAAAATGTATATAAAAATTCTTGAGACATCGTGTATATATTTAAAAGCACACACACATACACACATACAGGTTTTTTTTTTTCATTTTTAAAGACATACTTTACAAACATGACTTTCTGGAGCACCTTCCGTGTTACTTTAATAACGTCATAATCTATTCCCCAGAGTGCGTGGAGAGAGATCGAGAAGACTTTTTTCTTCTCAAATCCATCTCTCTTTCTCTAAAGTCGATCTTACGACACATTCGACGAAGATCGCAAATACGACACGAGAGAGAAAGAGAGCGCAATCTCGTCGACAAGCAGGGAGATCTCATCAAGCGACATCGGACCGTAGCGATCCGGACACAACGGCGACGACATGCATCCTATTTTGCGGCGACGAGTCTCGTCGGCAAATTTTCCACATGGTACAGCGTGGCTTAATAAGGATATCTCGAGGCGTGGTGGTTTATATAGACAACCGTGTGGGCCGTTCGCGCAATCTCGACATGCAAATTCACTCCGGACGATGTTTGACCGGAAGATTCCTTCCTCGCGCGCTCTCCCTCTCTCACGGGGGTTGGCGAGAGAGGAACGAGGGAAAGGAAGGGGGGGAGAGGAATACATTTCGTAGACACGCGTATTTATGTATAGGCGCAGAAAGAACGAGAGAGGCGAACGCCCTAATGCAGATGAGATGGTATCGCCCGCTAGCCCAGTAATCGCGAGGATCTCAGAAGTCCGGACAATACCGGGGGCCGTTCTCCACTGTTCGGGAACACTCAAACATCGTGTGACAATGGCGCCGAATGGGCGACAGCTGCTTAACGCTCGCCCTCGCGCCCTCATACGATTCTCCTCTCTCTATCGTTCGCGGGGAATTTTTAACGGCACATTTTTCCCGCGTAGCGGAGAAAAAAAGGATGCTGGATCCGGAGAACGGAGCTTACATATCCGTTGCGCGAGGAAAAAATGCTGCGAGCTATATACAGGAGCTAGCTTCTGCGTCTTTTTTTTTCAGACAAATTGAAAGAGGTTTTAGACCTGTCTGTTTTAATTGCGCTCAAATTTTTATAATTTGTATAAAGAATGAGATGCGTATATTCGTGTTTTGGAAGCAAAGAAAAGAGAGAAAAGAAACAAAGAGCAAAAATAAATGATATCTCGGTACTATTGGATTAAGTTGCAAGCAATTTGTTTATACGACGAAAGAGGCAAACTCTGTCTCAGGATGCAGGCGTGAAGCACGCGTTCTGGAAACGTGACACGCGTTTGCCAGACGAAAACGCGAACCCCACGGAGAGGCACAAAAGGAAGCCGAATAACGTTGTAGTTAGTGGTAAAAAGCGAAGTGATAGCGGGTACGAGAAAAGCGAGACGTCCGATGCTTTCTCTCTCTTTCTTTCCCGCTCCATCTCGTATGCCTCCCGTAAAAAGCGAAAATCCGCAGATCGGCGATCGACGATAACCGAAAATACAGCTGCAGTTTGCGGTCACCCGATGCACACGGTGGTCGTAGATGGCCGATCGCGATTACCAAAACGTAGAACGAGCCCCGAGCAAAAACGAGATGGAAGCCGAGAGGGTGACAGAGTGTGCGCGTATAAATGTGTGTGTA